GAGACGCGATAAAAAAAAGTATTCTTTGCCTACCAATTATAAGTAACAAATATAATTAACATAGTAAAAGACCTTCTAGGCTAAAACACTCTTTAATCTGTAGAGGCATGCAAGGCAAAATGATGTAAAGGAAAGCTGTCTGGCCGTCTGGCTAACAGTTTCGTTTGCGCGTCTTCGCTGTCTTACTTAAACCCCTTGCTCCGCTTCAGTAAAACGTGCTAAAATTTGGATATTTACGGACAAAATGCCCAGAATAAGCACATTAAACATCAACTTTGTTAGATTTGGGTCCTGTTATACCTTTCCGATAAAAAAAATAAGCTTCGGGTGAGGCCTTCAATAGACCCAAGAAGAAAACGAAAAGACCCTGGGGACAGCCCTTGGTTTGACGGGAAGGCTTGGCTTCTAAGGGGTTTGCTTTGATTACGTAACCTGGCCATCTTTTTGGAACGCCTTGCAATGATTTGTAAAATGAGATTCTTACGACTACAAAGATTGTTTCAATGTGTTTATAGAGACCGATTTACGAACAGAAGCTGTTATGAAAATTCTGTCCTTCCGTACAGTACTTTAACTGTAAGGTAAGTGAATGTCTTCGAGATTTAAGGTTCGTAATCGAATGTGTAAAGTTTTATTTCCCAACTTCCGCGTTGGTGCTCTGCTTTAGATCAGAAGTACGGTTAAAAGGAGCAGGATTTACTTGTATCATTACCCAAGGGGGCTACTTGGGTCAATGTTTGCTGGGTATGTGCCGTAGGCCTCTCAGAACCCCTACCCCATTAAAGTCAATTTATATAGACCCCATCATCTTAGTCACTTCTGGACAAATGTAGTTTGCTTTCACGCCACCATCTGTTTATGCATCAACCTTAAAAAGCGCAGTGAATTCACTCATTATCTTTCAAATTCCTAGATATAAAAAAAATTCTCAACCCCAAAATCCCGAAAATGTGCGACCCCATTCTTGAAATTCTTAGGGACGGACCATTAGAAAAGTTATGAGGGAGGGAGGGGGCGGGGGGGTGGATTTTCGAGCCGCAGGAATTTTTTGTCGTCATCAAATTCCTTGTATGAATTTTTTGTTAGGCCATAGCATGAATATTTTTTAGGATTAATTGGCGTGCATGAATTTTTTTTCATTTAATTTTCCCTTCCGCAAATATTTTTTTTGTACTTCGCCTGCCCACCCCTGCCCTCCCCATAAGTTTTCCAATGGTCCGTCCCTTATGAAAATGTATCCCCATTCTAGTCATGGCACATCCCCATTAGCCTATTACTACGAAGTACCTTCCCCTTATGGATGAAGATTTCCTATTAAAGGGGTCTTCGAAAGTTATTTCTGATGGGTGGCTTTATCGGCAACATTAATCTGTGAAATATTTCATAGGGGTATGGGAAAATTTTCCTATTTTCTAAGGGTGGGACTGTGTCAGTTCTTCTGATCTTTATTTTCTTTGGGGGTGGGGGGAGGGAAGTCAAGTCGCCTCCTTCATAAGGAATTGTGGCAACTAAATGGAATGCCCTAGTCAAAAATTTGTTTATCTCTTTTTGTCCATAACATAGACACAATTAGGTGGCTGTCACTAAGATTTCAAGTTCTCGGGTTAATACGACAAGTAGGTGGGGATTCATTCAGCTCGGGATTTCTTTTGGTTTTATTTTTCTTCCATTTTCCTATAGAAGTAGATAGAGGTCACGTTCATAGTATAAAGAGCATGGCCCTAAATGACAGTCCTGCACATAGTTACACCTCTAATAGCACTGTTGACTTAAGTCACACTACGTACTTTTCTGTTAGTCCCCCAGTAAGATTAGCTTATGATAGCATTGATTCCAACTCTGATGGACAAGATTTACCACCGCTGGTGATATTACACGGTCTGTTTGGATCCAAAACAAATTGGAGAACTTTGGCAAGGCACTTTCACAAGCAAACTGGGAGAAAGGTAACTTTCTAAAAAATAATTTTGTTCTCTTTGTACCTCTAATAGTAACCAAGATATTTGGCAACAAAGAGGGCAATGAATTTAAATCTTATTAAGGATAAGCGAGATGCTGAAAAGATGTTGATGGATGTTGTGCCTGTACGTTGATTATTTTAAACATTGTTAAATCATATACTTACGCTTCCCAAGCTGCGAATTGACAGGGTGCAAAGAAAGTCATTTTAACAGCTTGCCATTTGAGCAAGCTGAAGCTAACATTTACTAGCCCAAAAAACGTTTTGATGAGCAGGTTGATTTCACAGTTCTTCTGTAATTTGAATTTCTCAAAAAAATTCACTTGCCCATCGGGCAAGTTAATAACAGAATTCACCAGCCCGATAGCAAAATCCACTAGCCCCGGGCTATCGCACACTACTTTCTTTGCATGCTGATTGATTAATTAACAATTTACTATCAATAGTTGGTAGTTTATTATCAAATATGATATTGAATCTCAGTTTTCCTGGTAATAAAGTTAACTCCCTTCATAGCGGACACTATGGGGACCTCCAGTTAGTGTCCTCATTAGCGAGAGTCCGTAATAACGGGAGTTTATTTCAGTCAAATATCTATAATATTATTATTACGGATAACTTATTTATTTTCGCTTTGGATTTAGCTGCTGTCTGTATTATCAGGGTGTCCGCAAGGCAAGAGTTGACTGTATCACTTGCTTCAAATTGTGCGTTGTATGGACTGTGTTAGGTCAAACAAGAGATGCAGTGTTTGTATCTGATATCCAGACACAAAGAAGTGGATAAAAATAATAAGAAACAACCAAGTTTGTTTAACCCAACTGTGAGGTGTTTAGATTATTATATCAGATTTATTAACTCTGTGTTTAGTGTTTGATATAACTTTCCACATGAGTAAACTGGAATTGAAATTTTACACTTTGCAGAAATTTTCTAATAATATGGTAATAATTAAGGTATTATTTCCAAACCTCACAAAATCAACTTCTATACCATAAATCATTATTGAGTTCGAAAATAGAGTGTCCCCAATTCAATTGTCAGTGAGTATGGAGGGTGGGGGGAGGTTCAGAGCCATCTTAAAACACTCACCAGTAAAAAATCTTTTTTCACAAATTATTTGCAGTTAGTCATGACCATGAGATCAATATCGGCCAACAGCAGAGAGAGTCATTCTAAAGTCAGTTTTTTAATTTGTCAAGCCTTTTGCATGTAAACACTTGAATGTCATGTCAATCTCAATGGGCTTTTTGTGTTGCAGAACTCATTTTTGAGATCATTTTTCTTGACAAATCTTGTGAAGACAGAAACTGGATTTAGATGGAGAATCAATCTAGAAGCTTTGGAAAACAACCTCCCAGAAGTGTCCAGTTTCCCAACAGATTTCCCACATCAACACTTTGATGGAAAAGCTCTTTTTATTGGGGGTGCTAGATCAGACTATGTCCGGTAAGTAAAATAAGTAAATAAATACCCATAGTACTATTTTTCACTACCATATAATGTACCATATAATGGTGAGTGCTGGAATTGGAACTGGAATTATTGACTTTGCATAGAGAATAAAATGTAAGATTATACCAAAATTGAGTTTGTTAATACTATCATTATGGAGAAAGCACATTTTAGGCATTAAAATTTACATTAGTGATGTAACGATACTGACCAGAGGTTAGTAATTTGCATTTAACTCAAAGTATTCTTTGAGCATTGAGGAAATAAGTTATTTGGCACTTGATGTGTTCCTTGCCCACTGAGGAAGAACAAGGACCTTTGACTCAATATAATTAATAAATATTCTTTGACCATTTAGTGCATGTGAAAGAAAAGTGTTCAAACAAACAGGCTACTATAAAATTGGTAAAGCTGCACACAAAATCAATTTT